TGATTTAGAAAGTTGTGAATTGTTGGACTTTCTATAAGGTCTAGTGAAAGGTTTAAAGAATTTAGCTTTAGAATCCTTGAGTCTTGATTTAATGAGTTTTGCAAGGCCAACAACTTGATTGCCTAATTTTTCAATTTTTGCTTGGTATTCCACAACAGACCCTTCTTGTTTTAATTTGAATAATTCAGCTTGATGATTCTCATAAGAGGATAGACCAAAATGTAATTCTAAGGATTTAGTGGAAGAAACCCAATCTGTTAATAGTAAATTTTGATGCATCCATTTAAACCAACCTAAAGCCTCGTCTTTCATGTAAAAAGAAATTAATGACAATCTGTTTTCATGTGGCAGATTATAGAAACTGAAAAATTGTTCTGCTTGAAATAACCGATCTAAAGGATTAGACCCATCAAATAATGCAAGTTCAAGTTTAAGAGTACGAAAAGGGGGTAAAGGGGGGATGTGGGGAAGTTGCGGCTAATGGTTTTACTGGAAAATAAGGATGTTATAGTTTGGGGTGTGTGTGAAAATGAGTTGGTTGGGTAGGTATAGAGATAATTGTGGTAGTGGTTGAGCAGCGGTGGTACACAGAGTTGTTGTAGCAGTAGGTTGTGTAGGTGAATTGGAAAATGGTACTGAGTATTTCAAAGGGATATTCGTGGGTGAGGTGATATGAATAACAGGGGTAGGTACCATGGATGTAGATAAAAGGTGTTAAGTAATACCTGAAGAACTTGCTGCTGAATGAACAATATCAGGTTGTTGCTGCTCTTTTTGGGAAAGGAGCTTTTGAAGGGTGGACATGATGGATTCATGGCGAGAATCTGATATTTGTTTTTCATTCTCCAATCGGGTGTGAAGTTGACTTAGGTTTTGCTCAAGATCTGCATTAACTCTATCAAACCTTTCATCCATTTATTGTTGAACTTGAGCCATAGCATTGTCATGGTGAAAATGAGCAGTTTAAACAACATCTTTAACAATTTCCTTTGAAGGAGGGTTGTTTGGTTTGGGAGGAGCCATAAGAACAAAGAATGAAAGCACCAATTGATAAACTACACTAAGCTAGACTAGATCTAGGGTTGCATAAGAAGATGAAACATAAAAACAGCTTGCAATATTTTTCATTAATTCCCAAACTATTACAAAGGTCCCTTTTATATACTTAGAGCTGAATAAACTGAAATGGGTCTAAGCCACTTAAAATAAAATCTACAATAAAAATAAAGACTCAATAATGAAAGGTCCAAATACTAAGTATAATAATCCTTAAACCAAGCTGGTCTTTTGGCCACTCTTTTAAAAAGGACTTTGGGCTTCTTAAAACTAATCTAGCTAAGAATCAAGCTAAATGATCAAAATTTAAAAGGTTCATTACAATTCATGTTGTATCACTTTAAATTATCAAAATATTTCATATATTTTCAATTGGTATAAGAGCAAGATTTAGATAACTTGCTCATAGAGTTGGGTAAAAATATCTTCCGTAAAGGTGTTCCTAGGAGAAGGTGGCAGCGTAAATAGACCTTCATGCTTTATTGGTGAACATTATGACTTTTGGAAAATAAGGATGCAAATGTTTTCGAAGTCACAAGATGCTGAGGTATGGAAATCTGTTAAAAATGGTCCATATATTCCAATATTAGTTATTAATGGTGTAAGTTCTGTAAAACTCGAAGATACATGTGATGATGAAGATAATAAGAAAATTATTCGTGATAAGAAAGTCAAAAACATATTAGCATCATTATTAGGAATGAATGAAATTTTTAGAATATCCAATTGTCAAACAAAAAAATAAATTTGGGATAACTTGCAAGTCACATAGGAAGGAATCGAAGAAGTTAAGAGATTAAAATCGAACACTTCATCATAAGAATATGAAACATTCACAATGCTACCCCATGAAAATATTCTAGATATGTAAAAGAGGTTCACTGTCTTGACAAATCACTTGACCTCTCTTTGAAAAGTCCTCACCAATGATGAATTAAACTTCAAAGTTCTTAGATCATTGACTAGAGCATGACAACCAAAAGTGACAAAAATATCTGAAATGAATAATCTTGACATTGGCTACATTGTTTGGCAAATTTCAAGAACATGAATTGAAACTTGAACGATTGAAGAAGCATGAATGAAGTGGGCATAAAGTGAGATCTCTTGCCTTAAAAACTAAATTCAAAGATTATGATAATGACCAAAAAGAAGAACCCAATCCAGTAGTGACAATGATGATGAAGATGATGTACTAATCAATAAATTTAAAAAATTTTGAAAAGATAAAAGACAAATAAAATTGGTCAAAGAGAAACATCAACTTCAAGAAAGAAAATTATTTGTTTTGAATGTGGAAGAAAATGACATGTAAAAAGTGATTGTCATACACTTTAAAATAAGAACAATGTTAATAATAAGAAGGATAACAAGTCAAGAAGAGCATACATCGCTTGGAAAAACAATAATGTGAGTATAAGTTTCAAAAATGAAGAACAAGCACATCTATCTTTCATAGTTTCACATCACTCTAATGATGACGATGATGAAATTATTAATGATAAACCTTCTTATAATGAATTACATGATGCTTTTAATGACTTGCATGATGAATATTTGAAGCTTTTTAGATTATGTGCTAAGTAAAAGAAAATAAATTTATCTTTAGAAAGCAATTTTATAAGCATGTGAGAGAACTTAGACAAAAACAAATCTAAATTAAATACTCAAATTGATTGTCTAACAAGTAATAAATGTGTATCTCTTGAAACCAAAATTATTGATCTTAATCAAGTTATATGCACTTATGAAAAAAGCAAAAAAGGTTTGGATAATGTTCTACGTAGACAAAGATATGTTAATGATAAAAGTGAATTAGGATATTTTAAATTTATAAATTCTAATCAAATAAAATTGACTATCTTTGTCAAATTTAGCAATGTTAGTAACAATGTTCAATCTAAAAAAGTATATCATAATGTGCATCCTAGAAAGACATAACAAAAATTATTTCTATGATCATAAGAAAAAGCCTAATATGACAAATAAAAACAAACATGTTTTTATTGCAATTGTAAAGGTCATACCTCTCATGCATATAAAATATTGGTGTACTTAGTGGCAATTATGTATGAGTTGAGAAACGAACTAACCTAAAAGGGGCCAAAGAAAATTGAGTATCTAAAAAGAATTAGTAGTTCTCTTTTGTAGGTATAGGCTTGGAAACCATATGCTAAAATTGTAAAATAAAAGATTGTGTGTTCAATATACAAGGAAACCATATGATGCGGTGAGATTAAAAAAGTTAATTGGTTAAAGATGAATTGAAAAGATTGACACTATCAAAGAACATTTCAAAGAAGATAGATATCTAAATATGTGCTATTATATTTTTTCATCTAATCACTTCATCTATGATGATGCATTTTTTCTATATTATTTTGTTTTGGATTTTATAGTTGTTTTTGTTCATTCTATTTTAAAATACAAAAGTTTGAATCTCAAAACAAATGGAGAGATAGACAAGATATAAGGTGTATCAAATGTCAAATAAAAACCTCTCATTTATATATTTTATCATCATTAAAAAAAAGATTGTGAAAAAGATATCCATCCTTTACGAAACGTAGTTTTTGTGTAAACAAAAATTAATAAAGACAATCAAATGAGAAAGAGCATAAAAAGTTATAAAATGTATGCAATAACTTTGATTTTTATTAGAATTATAGTTAATCTTTAACTCATTCTTACTTAACTAAGCTATAAAATAAAATGTGTCATTTTATATAAATATTTTTAAAATTCAATGTAATATGAGATTTGAGATTTTTGTTTTTTGGTTAATACTCTTAATATAGACGAGTTAATGATTAATTATTGAGATAGTGTTTCTTGAGGAAATAGTTTGGAAATAGTTTTTGGGAACATAACAATGATTTCCTCTATACTATTGCAACTCAGGTGGTAGCTTGTTTAGTTGTAGAAAACAGAGGATTGGGGTATTTTCCATGGCTTGAAAATTGTGTGGACTCAAAGGTATCATCAGATCTAAATTTATTCAGATTATACGCTTTACTTGTCATCTCTCTTATCACAAATGGGTGCCGCCACACTCACCACTACAATTGCTTACAAAATATCATCCATCACATTCATGAAGAAACAAGACAATTTATGTGGACTCATTCATGAAGCATGATAATCATGTTGCAGATCTTGAACTCTCTCACTCCAATCATCAATCCAACTTTATATTCTTAATTTTAGTTGCATTACATATTTAGAGATTATATCCGACCCAAAAGTTGATTCGGTGTAGTTAACAAATGTTGCATTCATGTAATCACAATTGGTTTGAAATCAGACAAATCAAATGTATAAAAAATTTACTTTTTAAAATTAAAAAATATATTTATTTTGAAAAATGAACAGTCGGATCTAAATGCAAGGGTCACAAATTTACAATTAATTGAATGTATTTTTTTGCATAGCTATTAGAATCACTTATTCTAGGATTGAAGTAAATATAATTTTTATGAGGAAGTTAAATTTTTTGAAAAAATATTATAAAAAAAAATAGCAATATTTATTGCACTAAAAATGAAAAGCAGTAAACAACAATTGTTACACAATCAAGGGGCCAAAAAAATTGCATTGAAAAAATTACAAATCCCTTAAAAAAATATACACAATAACATACACAAGTGAAGTACCTGTCTAGCAAATTGTTAGCCATCTAGAGATCTATTCCTATGATAATAACAACCAAATTGCAATCGGCAAAAGAACCAAACCAAACCTCACATGCTAGAGTCAGTATATTCTAACGAGGAACCAAAAAAAAAACACATTGAATAAAATATCTGCAGACAAAACGAAAGGGCACCACCGTAATTTTACTCATCACACATCTCTCTATATACTTTTTATAGATTTTAATTCAACAGCCATAACGGAGGGGTATTTTGGTCCATATACATACTCTACACAAACTTGCTAATCCCTTATGAAGAGGACCCTTGAGGGCTATTATCCGGTGTGGACAATTGTTTGAATATGATTGGTGCACCATACTGAGGATAAAGTAGCATCAGAACCGTTGGTGCATGTTGATAACTAGGGGCCAACCTGAAACTAAAACGCTGCAGTATCATTACTAGTGCCAATTTTGTTTGTAGCACTGCGAGGTTTTGTCCTATACATGTGCGCACACCGAGGCCAAAAGGTATGAACGCCACAGGATGTTTCGCGGCGCGGGCTACACCTTCCGAGAAACGGCCAGGATTGAATTCGTTTACATCGTTGCCCCATATTGCTTGATCGTGATGAACGGCTAGGATTGGAATTAAAAGCTCTGTTCCACGTGGTATCTTGTAGCCTCCTAATTCAACATCTGTTTTCGCCCGTCGGATTGTTGCGATTGTAGGCGGGTATAGCCGTAGAGACTCGTTTACTATCATGTTCAGCTGCAGGAGATTATAACACACAAAAGATTAGATAAAAAAATTAAAAATTCATGGTGGAGGATAGGACAATATTCTATTCAGATATTATAAATGAAAATGTGAAATGAATACTAATAATCTAATCAAAAGATGAATATTTTTTATGTCTCCATAGACTAGTTTTTTTCTACTGTGAAATTTATAAAAAAAATCTCTAATTAAGTTGGAAGAGATTTTTTCCAATTTCATCAAATATTGATATTATATTTTGAGATAAAAAAAAATATTTTGAAATTGTTAAAATGAGAGAATTGTTGTTTTAAAAATAGAGAATTGCCAGTTGGGGAGGTGTAAATGAGCAGTGTTTGGCACCATGTTCCCTTCACAAGGGGTAAGAGGAAGCAAAAGGTGGCAACAATGTTTTAGTTGGGAAAGAAACAAAGAAAAACAGAAGGACTAGGAGACAAAACATGATTTTTATTTGGGGTCCAAATATTAATCTTATGTAGCATAAAAGTGTTGATGGGTGGGGAGGGGCTGCCTTTGGCTTACCGTCTTGAGCTTTACAACATGATCTTTAGTTGGAACGTCACGTGACCCACACATCTTAAGGACCTCGTCACGTGCCTGTACCTGCCATTGTGGGTGCATTGCCAAGAGTATGGTCGTCCACGTCAGCAAGTTGGATGTGGTCTGTTTGCCTGCAAAGAAAAAGCTCTTGCACTCTCCCACGATATCATCCACTGTCACATTTGTTTTGCTAGAGGCTTGTATCATTAATCCAAGTAAATCCTTTGGCCCTTTTTCAATTCGCTCATTTGAATTCTCTCTCCTTCTTTCTATTAACTTCACCAACGATTTCTTTATTTGCTTGTCTAGTTTCCAAGATTTTATATTCCTCCTTGTTGGAAAGAATCTATAAAATACAAATTTTGTACATATTATCATAATCATAATAATATATTAATATTATCTCAAACAATAATTAGACGCGCGGAGGTGAAAAATATTTATAATAATATATTTATTTACCTGTAACCTGGAATGAAAACTTTTTGAAAGGCATCAGCAGCCAAGACCATTTGTTGAGCTTGTAAGCGGAAAATAGCTTTTCCATCTTGATAGCTACTTCCAAACGCGGTCTTAGTAATAACATCTTCGGTTAGGGTTTGAAAGCATTCAGAAACTTCGATTTCCACCTCACCTTTATGACTCATTTCCGACCAATTTTCCAACATCTCAACCACGCTTGTTGCCATCACCGGTATCAGCAACTAAAAATATTGAACACGACACGACACGAAATCCTATTTAATAATAAACATTATTAAAATATATTAAAAAATGGGGTAGGATGAGTTAATTACTTTGAGATTTTCCATGTGAAAAGTGGGAGAGATAATTCTACGGTGGTGAGCCCATTTTTCTCCTTTAAGGCTAAGAAGTCCATCACCTTCCAGCTGCTTCACAAGTGGTGGAGCTTCGTTTTTTTCATAAAATTCTGACTTGGATGTGAAGATTTCCCTTATAAGGTCTGGATCAGACACTGTAAGTCGAACAGTGGGTCCGAACCAAACAAGGAACGTTCCACCTTTGATCAAAACATTAAAATCATATAATTGTTAGCTATCAACTTTTACAATTTATTCATAATCAAATGGAATTAATATTAATGATAAATAATTATATTTTTACATAAAGTTGGAAAGATCAGAATCCTCAAGTAGTAAGTGTGAAGTTAACAAAAATAGGAAAGGAGCAGGAAACATGACAGCCATTAGTTATCAGAGAGGGAGGATGGATAGTGTGTAGTGGTGACCCTACAGGAACAGCAGGTGGAGGTGGGAAGAAGAAGACAAGTCAATTTTAAAACGGTTACCAAACATATACAACTACATTGTCGAAATTCAATTCGATCCTTCTCATACAAAAACAAAACAATACATGACAACCCGATGCCAATGCCAACAAATTACACTTATTTTTTTATTAAATAGTAATATTTATTTTTGCTTTATAAAAAACATGTAGTTAAATTAAAGTAAGAATATGGACAATGTTTGTATTACTGACAACCTTACAGAGCAGTCAGTATGAAACAAATGTCTGATAACATTACACATCAAAACTGAAGGCAAAGTTTTGTTGGATTGGATATTTTGTTTGATGCTAAAAAGAAAGAAAAAAAGTTGAGAGATCAATGATGAATCGAAAGAAAAGTGAAAGAAAAAAAAAAGAGGGAAATTAAGGTAAAGTCCAAATTAATTAACATGGAACTTCAACATCATGCATCAAAGAGCTAGGAGGAAGTAGCTCAGAAAAAGAAAGGCTGAAAAAAGTTGTAAAAAAAAAGAAGCACACTAACTCCGGAACAAGTTTTTGAAGGCTTTAAAAGTCTCAAATTCAGCAACACAAAACTGGAAAAAGAAACATCATGATTCATAATCATCATCATGCCACTGCAGCAACTTTAATGATGATGGTCAAGACTCTAGAACAAAACGCATTTTTTTTGTTTTGTTGAAATTAAGGGAAGAAAGAACAATTACCGTAAATTTTCTTCCAGTGATGGTAGAAAGAAAGGACTCTGGGGAGAATGTTGTGAGATAAATTAGGCATGGGTTGAGAGGAGGCTTTCAACATCATACCAACAAGTTCCTTAACGTTTCCAATGAAGAAACGATAAGGGGGTCCTCTGATTCCTTGTTTAGAGAAATAGCCTTCAATTTTTCTTGGTCTCCACCAGAGTAACACTGTTAGTTTGAGGACTAAAAGAAGAAAGATGAAAGAAAAAGAGAGGAGTTTAAGCCAAGACAAGAGTTCTTTCATGATGTTTGAAACTGATATTGAATTGTTGTTGTTGTTGTCTGTAGTGTTATAAGACAGAAGAAAGAAGATGTTTTGTTTTATTTTATTTTGTGCTTAGAATGGAGTATGAAGAGTGGAGGGAGGCTTTTGGGTTTGGGTTTGGGTTTGGGTTTGGGCTTTTGGGTTTGGTGGTCTTATCTGATTTGGTTATGTTGGTTGTTAGTGGCGTGGGGTTTTAATACTAGAGGAAGAGAGAAGGGAAGTTGGAAAGAGGTGGCTTTGTTTGGAGACAGATGGAGGGAGAGAGAGAGAGATTAAGAGCAAGGCCAACGGCGTAGGGGCCGCCAATGGAATTCTAAGGGTCAACGAATGGGAACTATTTTTTATACTAATAAACATAAATATATTCCTTTCATGACAATCTTACCCTTGTCTTTTCCTTATACATTGTTGGTCACAAACTATAAAGTCTTCATCTTTATTAGGAGATTTAATTTTGGATTGTTTGAACTATTTTGTGTGTTATCAATTGTCACATTAAATTTAAATTAACTAATTTAAATTTATTTTATTTTAATGGTAATTTTAATAAACAATTTATATGTGACTCAATCCATTTATATTTTTTCATATAAATAATTAAAATTAATATTATTTAATAATAAAAAAATATATATTTTTCATTATGTGTATCTAATTCAATGGTAAAAAAATACTAAACACATATACATTAAGTAATTTCTATAAAGACGCACTTCAAACTATTTTATATAAATAAATAAAATATATATATATATATATATATATATATATATATATATATATATATATATATATATATATATATATATATATATATATATATATATATATATATATATATATATATATATATATATATATATATATATAATTATTGTCTTATTTATAAATATAAACTCACACAATAATAACCTCATCCACAATCTTAAATCTAAAGTTGGAACATTGATTTAATATTTAAATTAACAATATAAACTTTTTTACCTTGAATTAGGATTTACGGATAAATATCATTAATTTTATATTGTAAAAATAGATTTTACATTAATTTATAAGAGTATAGTAATACATTAATGACCAAAAAAGATAAGATAAAAGTAATAAATAATAACTAATAAATGGTAAAATAAAAAAATAAATAACTTATACTTTAAACATTCTTATAAAATAATTTAGAAGAGTATAGTAATACATTAATGACCAAAAAAGATAAGATAAAAATAATAAATAATAACTAATAAATGGTATAATAAAAAAAAAATAACTTATACTTTAAACATTCTTATAAAATAAAGGTATAAAAACATTTATTTTTCTTTTGAAATAATTTCAATTTTTAATTTTTAATTTTTTAAAATGACTTATAATTTAAACATTCTTATAAAATGTGATTCAAAAAGATATGTTAAAGCAACTTATTTGGTAGATGTGTATGCAATTTCAAGAATATTAAATACAATAATGCAGGTTTGAGTTTAGGATATTTCATTTATTCATTCTTAAGGATTGAGTTTTAATCAATAAACTAAAGGATTGAAAAAGAGAGAAAACAATGATGTGTTAAATAGATGCTAAATTTTTTTTCTTTCTAAAATGTAAACCTTGTCTAGCTAAATTTGATTTTTTATTTATATGTTTAATATAAATATTTAATATGTTAGATAGGTACGAGTTTGAATACAATTATGTATTTTTTTTTATAGTTTGTTTATTTGAGTTTATCTGTTGCACTTTTAAAATAAAAAATATGACTTAACAAGACTACTTGATCATATTTAAATAATTTGACAAAACCTTCTTAGTTTGTTAAGATAATATTTAAATTACATTATGAATTATATGATGGCAGTTACAATTTCTAATTCATTGAAAATGACACATTGTTTTAATATTTTAATGCGAAATATATGTCTATATATAGGGTGCTAAATGGAAAAATATTCTTTATAGCATATTATTTAATAATTTTGTATACAAATTTATAATATAAATAAACTAAAAATATAAATTTGTCTAAGTGGGTGTACATTTTTACATAAATGATAATCTGGCAAACAAAAAATATGATATTATGTTGTTTATAGTAAAATTAAATTATTAATCATTATTTTTAGTATATTTTTAGCGTGTGGACCAAGTGTTGTAATGTTTTTATAGTATATCTTTTAAGAATTTCTGTATGCAAATTTATAACATAAATACACTAAAAATATTTGACTTAATGGTGTACATTTTTCATTTTTATAATGAATCACTAATTTATATAAAAAAGAAAAAGAAAAATGATAATAATAAGAGTTGATTATTTAGGCCAAATAAAAATTTCAAATACCTACCAGGACAATAATGATAATTCTATGTTCTTAATGTTAAGGAAAATGAATCATAAAAAAAATACTAGTGGGTCAATTGAAATTCTACTATATTGCGTAGATGGGAGAAATAGGTAAGAATGCACACAATCACATTAAACAAAGATAGAAATGATGTAAACTACTCATATTCGTTAAGTTAATTTCTTTTTTCATACGTTATTACTCCCTCCGTCTCCTGAAATCCTTTTTTGAGATTTTTGAATTTGACTTAAATGCAGTTTTTTTTATCTTAAATTTTTAATCCTTCCTTAAAAAATTCAAGTTTTAAATTCTTTGTTTTGAAATTTTTTTTTTGAATATTTTGTTGTCCTTTGTTCAAAATTGCCTATGCGACATGTTTAGCAAAGAGGCGACAAATAAAATGTTAATGCAATTTAAAATAACAGTGTCACGTTGTTTAAAAATATTTTATTTTAAATATTTTAAATGAAAAACATTATAAAACACGACATGAAGCTGAGCTTGGTTTGTGTTCTTCCCTATTTGCACCCATGATGTAGCTTCATGTGGTAACTTATCCAAAAGTGCACAAGAGTAATACAAAAAATATCGAACCCACAAAGACTAATAGTTAATCTACCGCTATCAATTATCGCTATGTAAATCTAAGACTAATCAGAAATACTTTTAAGTTTTATGAAGGAAACTAAAAATGAGAATAAAGACTGGTTTAAGAGATATTAATAAAATGAGACTGAAATGTAATTTTCAGTCGCACCTTTGGGACTCCAAAAATTGTTAGCATTTGTTCTGGTTTTAAAATATTTTTTTAGAAGAAAATATCAACTTAAAAACACTACTCACTTTAGTAGAACCTATGTTACATTTTGAAACCGTAAATGCATTGTTATCGCTCCACATGTTACAATTCCGAAACAATTTTTGAAAACTAATACTTCCTAATTAATTACTAAAGCATTGTCGCTATTTTTAGAAACTAAATTCAATTTTTACGATCTAGTACAAGTCTCACACTATCGCGTTGTTGACTGATACCTGAGTGTTTTCACTTTTAGGCAAAACTTTTTTATTTAAAATTAAAAATCGGAACTGAAAAATAAATTAACATTAAAATTATATGTCAAATTTAATTTACTAAATCTCGTCGAAACGATGGTGCTCACATGCTCAAGGAATTTAGCTGGACCTAATTGACACAGAGTTCATATTATTATTATGCATGCAAATTAGGAACATGAATATGATATTTATAATGAATACAAGTAGTAGTTTCAACTAGTAATTCATAATTCGTGTGGAAGTTGGTTGAGAAAAAGGTGTGAGAGTTGTGGAAAGGCTCAGTCATGTTGCTGCTAAAATTCAGGGCACGAAGTTCATGGTGTTCGCCATGAGTTCATCATGGGTGATGTGGCAAGTGAGGGGGCCATGGCGAGCGTCATGCCCTTGTGGCAAGCGCCACATGCTGAAAACACCCATTTTGAATGCTTCATGCTTTTTTCCCCTTTTTAATCAACTTTTTGGCTAGTTTTTTCTTCATTTTACCTCATACCAACTCCTACATGGAAAGTGTCTCCAACACAAACAAAACGCCATCATAACACTATATATAAACATAAAACAGATGTAAAATGGATAAAAATGCATGTGTATCGAGTCAGAAAATGCTATAAGTTTAAGTGTTATCAATCCAGTCAACCCCAGAAACACGATTTTCTTATTCTTCTCCAGAAAACTATAAATTTCATAATCTTCATGATCCAACTATCAGCAACCATGTCCCAATATTCAACATCAAGTAATTATAGTGTGTCTCGCTCCAATCATGTCGAATGCAAATATGATCTTCCTTCTCCATTGATGACGGCGTGGACGGATTTGAACCCAAGTCATCATTTTTTTTATTGTGGGATGTACAAGGTTAATTTCATGTGCAATATCCATGAACAATGTTATTTTGTGATTTCCAAAAAATCTCTATTTTTACTTGTTAAAATCAGGGATACAAGAGATGTAGTCACTTCCTTTGATACGATGAATAAATGTCTCAATGAGTCAAAGAAGTAATATCTTTAATGCACTAAAAATTAAACCAAGAAAAGGTCAAGTTGAATGAAGCCATTATCAGAGAGGATCAATTGAAGTTAAAGATCGGGTTCTTGAAGATGATGAACAAGTTTACCATGGGAATGACATTAGTGTTGTTAATTGGATTGGTTGTATCAAATATAATAAATTAGTTGATTTGGTTAGGTTGTTTGTGTTTGGTTGTGCAATGTAATATACTGTTAATACCGTGTGAACTACAATTCAATGTAATTGACTATGTTAAGTTGAATGAAGATTGTTGTTGTTGAATATTGAGTGCAATGTTAATTTGACATGTAACTGTTGTTATGACATAATGTGTAATTATTATGATAGACCTGTAATGTTAATTTGAGTGCAATGTTACGTAATTGTTGTTATGTTAATTTGGTTATGATCGTTTATAATTTGGTCATGACAGACCTGTAAAGTTAATTTGGTCATGATAGTTTGTAATGTTATGACAGACTTGTAAAGTTAGTTTGGTCATGACATACCTATAATAATGACATAATGTGTAAGTGTAAACCTTAACCAATAAACATTTCAATTCAGCTT